CATACATACATACATACATACATACATACATACATTACATATGACATGATCCGGCTTGCTGGCAGAGTAGGAGATCTACAAGTCGACAGAGCAATGGTGTCAGCTCAATCAAGCATGAAATGTTGAACTTTTGTGTCTTATTTTGCTTTTGTGTCTTGTTTTACAATGATAAAGACAATAAAAGTTTGGGAAGAAGCTGCCTTGAATGCCATGAAAGCTCAAATGAACTTTATTTTAAAGACTTCATTGAGTAACTTATTTTAATGTATACGCACGCCTGTTTTCAAAGTAAAGGCTCAGAATTTATAATCTCAGGTTATTTATTTTTTTACAACTTTGGTTTCTTTCTTATTGGCTTAGTTTCGAGATGGAACTCATAATGTGGTCTTCGTACAGGGAGACCCCCTCAACTTAACGATCCCAGTTGAGCCCAAAATCTATATTGCTAAGTGAAAAGTTTGCCCCATGTCATGACTTCCTTGCCACCTTTGTTCAGCGGTTGTTCACATGAGTAACGCCGTCATTAAGTGAATCTGGTTTCCCCCTTGACTTCATTCGTCAGAAGGTCACCAATGGCAGATCACATGACCCCAGGACACATGGCAAACTGTCAATAAACGTGAGTCAGTTGTCAAGCATCCCGAATGGAAATCCCGTGACCACAGGGTTGTAGATGTCAACAGTGGCCACAAGTCGCTTTTTTTCGGCGCCGTGGTAACTTTGAATGGTCACTAAGTGAACTGTTTGTAAGTCGAAGACTAACCTGTACTGAATTCCAGGGCTGGAGGATACGTACAATTTGCATCTTAAAAGAATTGTGGAAGAACAATTCTTTAGTCCAAGGGTCGGCAACCCGTGGCTCTAGAGCTGCATGTGGCTCTTTTCATCCCTCGGGGCGGCTCCCTGTCGCTCAAAATATGCGTCACAACTGCCAATGTGTGACACCCGCCAGCCCGCGATTGATTGAGCTTTTCAACCCCCAGTAGGTTTTGTGGCTCCCGGTATTTTTTTTGCTGTGGGAAACAGATCCAAATGGCTCTTTGAGTGTTTAAGGTTGTTCTGACCAAGACTTCCTGAGACTGTAATTAAGCACATGCTTAGTTAAAACAATTCTGGTTTAATTTCAACACTGGGAATTATGTTCATTCCCAGCCCGTAATGAGTCCCAAACAGTCCCCCGAGATAAGCACCCACCTTTCTCTCCTTTGAATTGCTGCCAACAACTAAAGTGCCAAATTAACTATAAAAAACCAACTGAAGTACAAAGTCCACACAGCTTCAGGGGTTAATCCAAACAAGTGAACCTTTGCTTCCTGCAAAGGTTTCTCTACCTTTGCACTTCCTTTATACCTTTGAGGAGGAGCAATCACCTCCCAGCCTTACTCCCAAGTCGCCCCTTTTGTCTTAGCTGCTCTTGCCTTCTGGCAGCTCTGTGCATACACATCCTGGGAACAGGCTCCCCTTGTTCCTCTGCCTCGCTGCTGCCAGACTCCGGAGGCTCTGGAATTAGCACCCCACTCCCAGATGGTCCTGGCCCCATCTCTGCATCAGACACAGGACCCTCATCCAAGTCCTCTCCAGATTCCCGGACAGTTCCCCGTTCTTCCCCACTGTCCGATTCTGCTGCCGTCTGCACAGGCTGCTGGCAAGCCACAACAAAGGTTGCTGACCCCTGCTTTAGACCAGCAGCTATCTTTTGGGCATTGGGGAACAGTTCCACCGAGAATTTTTTTTTTTCTGTGGACCAGAGGGTGCGTGGTTTTGCGTGCTGCCTGCATCCGGAGGATGGGGCTTCTCTTGTTTTGCGTGGCCTGGTTGCTGGTATGCCATGGCCCTGTGCCAGTCCCCAGTCCGGGGGGGTTGGGGACCCCAGCTTTAGACCATAATGGAAATAATAAAAGACTTGGGGAAATGACTCAGATCTTTCAAAAACCCTGGCAGCGATTTGTATGCGCTTAGAGAATAGAATAGAATTCTTTTTATTGGCCAAGTGTGATTGGACACACAAGGAATTTGTCTTGGTGCAAATGCTCTCAGGGTACATAAAAGAAGAGATAACATTCGTCAAGAGTCAAGAATCATCAGGTACAACACTTAATAATAGTCACAGCATACAATAAGCAATCAAATCATACTAGGAAACAGTCCATATAAATTGTAAGGATACAAGCGACAAAATTACAGTCCTACAGTCACAAGTGGGAGAGGATGGTTGATAGGAACAATGAGAAGATTAATAGTAATAGTAGTGCAGACTTTGTAAATAGTTGGACAGTGTTGAGGAAATTATTTGTTTAACCTACATCCATATGTTTCTGGGAATCAGTCCTTTGGAGCAGGCTCACATAAGATTGTCAGACCACTGCAAATCAATGAATTTAGTGCGTCAGTAGCTATCTAGAATATGAAACTTAACTCAGCAATCCTGGGCCTCTCCAATCCGAAAGGGAGGTTGATGTTGATTTGGCGTTTTGCTGCATCCAAAGATGCCTGGGAAATTCATAATAACTATCTTGGCGTCCAAGCAAAACGCAGAACCTGGAGGAAGGAAGGCTCCCATCAGCATCTCTTCCTCATCCAAATTGCGATAAGTTGTGTTCCTTCCAGACAATGCCGGTGCCGTTGCGGTCTCCTGGCTGTGGGTGCTGCTGCAGCTTAATACTCTGCAGCTTGTCCTTTTAAAAAACTATATATATATATTTAAATAAAAGAACAAAGGAAGCAAAGCTTGGCTCCAATTCTCCAGCATCTGTTCCAAGTTGATGCCAAGGGTGAATTGAACGATCGTGCTTTGGACAATCAAGATGGAGAAAGTTAGGAAGCAGCAGCAGTGGGTGTATTGGTCAATAATTCCCTTCTCTTGCCGTTGGGAGAGAGAAGGAACTGGCTAGAAGAAGCTGCTTATTTTGGAGAGGAATGTCTGGAGATTCTCAGTCATCTAGGCCAGGATTGTCCCAAAGATGCTTTTTTCAAGAGGCAACTAGACTTTCTGGGTTTTTCTTTGAAGACATTTCACTTCTCATGCAAGAAGATTCTTCAGCTCTGACTGGATGGTGGGGAATAGAAGGATTTTAGAGAGTGGTTGAGGCAGCTTCAACAGTTCCAAGAAGGCTCCACACCCTTTTGCACCACTCAGGTAAACAGATCAAACCTCCAAATGGCCTCAATGACCCTCTAAAAGGGTGCAAATGACCAGCTGTCTGCAAGGAGCATAAACCCTTCCATTCCCACCACTATCCAGTCAGAGCTGAAGAAGCTTCCTGGACGAGAAGCGAAATGTCTTCGACGAAGAAACAGAAAGTCCAATTGCCTCTTGAAAAAAGACTGGGGAGTTTGGAGAGGAAGGTGTGCAGATTTGCTTGGAAGAAACCCTACATAGACTCTGGCATTTAATCCTACCTGAGAATATAATAAGAATAAAAAGACCAGCCGTCCCAAACTTTCCATTTGACTAACTGGTCTAGGAGAACAACTGGTATTGAATTCCTACTTGTGGTTTTTGGTCCAGCTCAATTTAGCCTTGATGAGAGGATAAAAGGTGGAGAGAAAGAAAACAGGGTTTGATTGATTGATTAACCGAGATAAATGCAGTCATGAGAATAGACTTAGGCCGTTCATCACTAGTTGCACCTTTGGTGCATGCAAAAATCAAGTAATTATCATCCGAGGGTCTTATTTGAGTATTTGATTTGATTGTTTATTGTACCCTATGACTATCATTAAGTGTTGTACCTGATGATTGACTCTTGATGAATGTATCTTTTCTTTTATGTACACTGAGAACATTTGCACCAAGGGAAATTCCTTTTGTGTCCAATCACACTTGGCCAATAAAGAATTCTATTCTATTCCATTCCATTCTATTCTATTCTATTCTATTCTATTCATCTCTATTCTATTCTATTCTATTCATCTCTATTCTAATTTAATCTCTGTTCTGTTCTGTTCTGTTCTATTCTATTCTATTCTATTCTATTCTATTCCATTCTATTCCATTCCATTCCATTCCATTCCATTCCATTCTATTCTAATCTCTGTTCTGTTCTATTTTTTGTTCTATTCTGTTCTGTTCTAATCTAATCTCTATTCTATTTTCTGTTCTATTTTATTCCATTCCATATTTTCTATTCTATTCTATTCTATTCTATTCTATTCTATTCTATTCTATTCTATTCTATTCTATTCTATTCTACCTGTGCAAGATTGACTAGCAAAAGCACAATCGCTGGGATCAAATGAAGTATGTGTGTGTGTGTGTGCGCGCACGCATGCTATTTCTGGGCTTTGGGGTACAGAAAAGGAATGAGCTGAAATGTATTATGAGATCCCGCCCACATGTGGATTGAAGTGGGTGCAGAAAACTTGGGGGGGGGGAATCTATTATTATGTTGGTTTCGGGAGGACTCAGCTTACATAGGTGGGGGAGACCGATTTCCCCACCCCCCAAAAAATTATACAAAATTCAGTGCATCCCCCCCCCCAAAGGTGGCTTTTGGATATAGTAAAACAGAGCTGGAAGGGGCCTTGGAGGTCTTCTAGTCCAGCCGAGCCTACCACACCATGCTTCAGTTTCCCTTCAGGGTGGTGCTGTAGGACAGCATCAGGCAAAGTGCAGCGCCAGGGTGGAGGACATCCGAATAAGCTTTTTAAAGGTTTTTTTTTATTATTCTGGCTGAGCAACACAACGAAATGACGTCATGCGGAGAAACCACCGATTTGCACTCTGTCCGGTATTGCCAACCGACCAGACATTTGCCCTTGAAGCTTTCGGCTCTTTCCGGCCCCGTTCGGGCGCCTTCGGCCGCTCGCATTCCTTCCGCTTCGGGTTTTTCCGCCGCCCCCCCCCCCCCCCCCCCCCCCGCACCCCCAGCGTGCTTCGGCTTCTGCGGCCGGCTCTGCGGCGATGACGTCACCGCGGGCCATCTTATAAAGAGGGGCGTCGGCGCCGGCGGAGCGCAGTCGGTGTCTGAGGGGTTTGTGAGGAGGGGAGGATCCGCGCGTGGCGGACTGAGGAGAAGCGAGGTGTGGTGGGGGAGAGCGAGCGAGAGAGCCCTTCGAACCGACCCGGTGAGGATGAGGAGGAAGCGGGAGGACAGGGCGGCCGGGGAAGGCGGGGGGGCCGGGCGCGGGGCGGAAAGATGGGCGAGGCTTCAGAGCGCCCTCTTTAGGCGCCCTGGAGGAGCGCGCGCCTTCTGCGCCTGCGCCGGGTGGGCAGGTAAGGCGCTTTAGGTGTTTCAAAGCATCTTTTAAGGTTGCATTGCAGCCTGGCTCCTCTCCAGCGGCCCCAGGCCAGCTTTCCCACGGCGGGGGATGATGGGCTTTGGAATCTTTAAGGTATCCAAAGTCTGGAAAGCTGGATTTCATCCAGCCTTCTGCATTCAGAAAGGAAAGGGGGGAAACGCCCCAGCTTGTATATTAGGGACTCTTGTTCACACGATTTCTTACCTGCAGGTTAGGTTTCCCTGTTGCACACCCAGCTGGTTTGGGTTAACCATGACTGATGGACTCAAACCTGCCGTGCCTGGTGTTAAAATCATGGTTTACAATTGTATTCCTCCGGTTTCATTCAGTTCAAATGCGCAGGGGTTGATTTCACACGTCCAATTAAATACAAATATGGATTGCCTTATGGTCAAGCGCCCCTCCTGTAAACCTAGCTAGTAGTAGACTTTGCAAAGGAATAAGCATTTGGTAGTAAATTTTAATTTTTCAGGCAATATGCTTTCAATGAGAGGCTTTGAATGCATTGGGAGGGTGGGCTTTCCGTTCGTGTTCTTTGAGGGTTGTGTAGCTGCAGCATCCTAAGAATTTTGGCTTTGGAGCAAGGCATAATTTGAATTTGTGGCGATCAGGTTGCAGGGCAGTTGGAATGGGGAGTACATACCTCAGCCTTGGGAGTAAGATTTTGTGGGCAAGCGAGACTTGTCTTCCTCTGAAGAAGTAGGAAAGGAACTGGATTCCTGATCTGGGCATATAGTTCAGTGTAATCCTAATCAGTTTGTATATTGAACTGTTGTTGAGAACATCTTCCAAATGTGTGGAGGAAACAATATTTCCATTAAAATAATATTTATAGAAAGAAGGAGCAAAGAGAAACTGTAGCTATTTAAATGTTTTTATTTCCATTTAACCATTCTTGGGAGGAAATTGACAAAGCAGGCAGAACTGGAGGTCTGCTTGTTTCCTTGTATCCATCTCTTTTTTTTTTTTTTTTCAAAATATTGCAATTTCCACAATTGTAGGGTTATGTTGTGGTGGTTATTTCTCAGGTCATTGTCGTCTCCTTGTATGAATTTGATTTGTCATAGGCTTCTTAAAGACATGAACCCTATGGAATTATTTGCTAGGGGAAAAAGTTGAAAGCCCCAAATAAAATCCCATTTTGATTCCAGCCAATGGACAACCCAGCACATTAAAATTAAGTCTGCTACAGACAGGGAATCTTCAGATGAATTAAAATGCATTTTGGCTAGGAAAATGCTAAGGAACTTGAAATATTTTTCCCAACCCGACTGAAACAAACCCCTCTAATTGCTTAACCCTTCATTCCCTTATCAATCATGTACACACCAAACTTAATCTTTGCACTTCCTGCTAACCATCTGCCTCTCATCTGTCAGCCTTTTCCAGCGTATTGGCCGTGTATAAAATAAACTCTGTAGTTTATATTTTTCTAAGCCCTTCAGAGGCATTATAGAGCAGGGAGCATATATACATGTGTAAATATCTCTGGAGATTCTCATCTGATCCATGTTTGTGCCAAACATGCTTTTTTTTTCCCCCCCAAAAGACAACTGGACTTTCTTTGTTTTTTGTTTCTTTTCCTTTGAAAAGATTTTGCTTCTCATCCAAGAACTGAAGACTTGTTGAATTGAAGAGTTTCTTGGATGAGAAGCAGAACATTTTCAAAGGAAAAGAAACAAAGAAGTCAAGTTCTCTCTTGGAAATAAAGCACCTTTGGGATATATCGTACGTGGGTATTATTTCTGTCAAAAAGCACACTGAAGACGATAGCCCTCTTGTTTGAATTTGGAAAAGTAACATATTTTAACACTAGATGATATCCTAAATTCATCTGAGTTATGACATTCAGTCCCTTGTCCTTTGTAAGAGATCATTCTGTCCATAATTTATTAGTACAGTACTCTGCATCAGGGCTGCTTGCAAATCCTTAGCTGTGTATTGTCACCTTAGCTTTTCAGTCCTGCAAATTTTCCTCAAAACCTGAAATTGCATTGGGTTTGCTTTAAAAAAAAGAAAAGGATAAGGATGGGTGTGGTAGGTGCTGCATTGTTTTCCTGGGCTTGGTGGACTGGTTGTTCCTTCCACCCTTGGAAAGGATATGCACAACTGACCTTGTGTGTGTGTGTGTGTGTGTGTGGAGTGGGGGAGAGGCAGGATCCGCCCTGTGCAACAGCAGGAATTTCATTCAGATTCAATTATGGCCGGCAAATTAAACACGTCGCCCTTTCAAATGATCTGCCTTTTGCCCCCCCCACGAGCAAAGCGGGGATCCAGGCTTGAACAAGGCTAAACTTGTCATCCATCCGTTTGATTTTTATTTTTATTTTTTAAAAAGAAGGAAATATATATAAGAGAACGTTCACCTAACCTCGGATTTGCAGCAATGGCGTCCCACTGTTGTGTTAAACGCCCTCCGCTCTCTGCTAGGTTGGGCGGAATGGAATAGCAGGGCGAAGGAGGGGTTTTGCAGGCGAAGGGGGCAGTTCTCAGCAAAAGAGTTTCCCCCAAAGCAGGATTTTCAGGAAATTGGGCACCCTGGAAAATGAGCTGACTTTTTAAAAAGTGCCTGTATAAGAGCGCTAATGATGCTTAAAATGCCACAATTTTTAAAATGATTGTACAGCCTGTCATATTTCAAGATCTCTTGCATACAGAAAGAAAGGACTTGGGCTGGCATAAATCCTTTGTCCTTTATGCTTTATCAGAGTATATAATCCTCTACATTTAAAATAATTAATCAGTCCAGTTCTCTTAATTGCCTATCTCTGCACAGAATAAACCGACAGGATTTGAGGTGAGGTGTGTTGGCATATGTGTGCAGTGTATTTGGATTGCTGTTGATATAATACAGCTTGTTAGCCACACAATATCCTTATTCAGTGAAAATTCTGTTACATTAACCGATAGAATTATTTTAAGCCTTGCATTCTTTAATTTATTTGCTTTGAAACATGGGTTCCAGTTCAGCTACTTAATTTTATTTTATTTAGACTTTAGGGAGTGCCATTAGGGATAGACAGTGAGAATTAATTTCAAGCAAATCCAGTTAGGTAAGGTTCAATGTAGGTAGTGAATCAAACTGTAGTCTAGAATCTTCTGGCACAAGAACTTAAAGGATGCTACTAGAATATTCTAGGAAACATTTGTTTTGGAATTAAAAAGCTCAAGCAAAGCAATAAATCCAAATTAAAAAAATCAGTGATTTTGTAAAATCATGTTAAGATTTTTCAAAATTGTCTATGTTGGAATTAAACTTGGATTTATTTTGCACTTAGTTGTGCTGTGGAATAAAGTTCTGTCACATTGGTAAGAAACCCTAAATGAATTGACAGAAATAATAGAAGAATGTTGATCTAATAAAATTACAGTAGTGAGAAGCAGTTTTACTTTTTTTAAAAAAATAGTTAATTTTAACCAGGTAAAGGAGTTAGTAAGCATATAGGATGGGTTAATTTTCATGCAATTAATGTTTGAAAACGGCTGGTATTATGACAAAATAATATAGCAGCTTTATTATGGATTTAGCGTAGAATTAATAAAAACGTTATCTTGGTATCCCTCCTCCCTTTTAGACTCTGAACTCCTTCATCATGTTGTCGTCCTTTCGCAAAGTCAGAGCCCAGGTATTTGGAAATATGCATGTGGGATCACATTTTTCCTTGTTTGATGTACCTGCCCTTTTCGCCCTCATGACAAAGAGCATTTTCAACGCTCAGTTTTATTCTGTCTTTGGTGCATGGAGTGGAATCAGAATGCTTCAATATGCTTTTGTTTTTCCAAGCAATTTTTCTGGGTTTTCAATTAACATTTTACAATATATATAAATGGTCAGAATAGGAAAGAGGCAAAGTATTATCGGGTGCCCATCGATACAAACAAAATAAAGCCAGGGAAATTATATTTATGTATTTGGAGCAAATGAGCTGCAAATTCTGTGAATTCTAGATTCTGCATGTTTAGCATGTGTTTATCCATGCTGTGTAAGATTTTTCCTGGCGTGATTTAGCACAGAATGCAGTTTTTGCTAACCTCTGCATGATTATGACTAATTTAGAGGTGGGGGCATATTTTAAAAATGTACCCAAAGTTGCCACTTATTCATTTGATAGATAAATCTGAACGTTCTTTATTCTTTCAACTCAAACCATAAAAGATTTCAGAGTTGAGAGAGGCAAGATCTAATTCTACTTTATTTTGGTTGAAAGTCAAAGGCAGTAACTGAAGGTCATTACCCTTAAAATAGTGATGGAAACGAACAGCATATTTAGGGATTCTTGTGCATAAAAAGGAACAGTGTACCCCCCCTGGGCATTATGCTGGATTTTGGATGCTATTTTCACTTCTCTATTAAAGTACCTACTGTTAAAAGGTTGCGTTTTAGACAAAGTGATGAAATCGCAGATATTTGGGGTTTGATCATTTCCCGGTGCTTTGCTGCATGCTACCAAGGTTGGCCCTTCTTCCTGCTAAGATGGCAGGACATTAAAATGAAGATTCACGCTCGCCTGATTGATCCCCTCAAGGAGGATAAGAAGAACACTCAAGATGCTGTCAGCTGAAATCACGATAGACGTAGAAGGAAAAGGGGCTGGCTAGGTCAATAATTTATAGGCTGTCCAAATTTTGCCTCTGCCGCATGATACCTGCAATACAGAATTGCTCTTCCGCTCACAGAGACAGACTTCGATACCGACAGCTCATTTTTAATGCAGCTGAATCCCAAGTACCAAATTTACATTTGGCCTTTGGTGGAAGGTTATTTCAGCTTTCCTGGAATAATGAGGAATGCACGCCCATGCAGGGGGACGCCTGTTGGCATGTCAGTTCCGATTGTTCGGATGAGAAGGTAGTTAAAAAGGCGTTTTAAGTGTTTATCCTCAGGCTGGACAGGAGGCCTTCCAATGGTCCCCGAGGCAAGGTGGATTAAAAGGGAGCCCTGCTGACATTGTTCCTTTTGCACAAGGAAGGAATTTGCTTAGGGTAACTGGCAATAAATATTTCGCCTTGTCGTTGAAGGCACAACCGGTGTTTACGCCCGTGTGCCAGAGTGCATATATGCATAAGCTGCAGCAAAGTAGCTTTTTCTGTGCCTTCTTCTTGGTACAGGTGTTTACACCTTGTTGGGCTTTTAAACTAGATGCGACAGGTGACTCTTTCACCAAGAAAAGCTTCCTACAGTGGCAGCAAAAAGAAAAGTGAATTTCAGATTAGGGAAACGATTGAAAATAAAGCCCTTCAAAACTGCTTGTGTAAATCCTTGAGGCAACCAACCCTGCCTAGATTTAGGGTACACTTCCAGGATGTTAAAGAGATAGAAGCACATGTACACACACACACACACAAAATTTAGGAAGAAACACACACAGAAAATTTCATGTTGAAAAAGAACTAGGCATCGTGGCGGAGGTGTGCAGAAGAAAACACAGCAACACACAGATGCTAAAATGAAATATTTTTCTCTCTCTCTTAGACATAGAGCTTAGAAAAGGTATTATCTATGTGGCTGTAGCCTCTGGACAGGTAGAACAAAACCACTCACTTCACCTGGAAGCAGTTAAAACAGGAGGCTGGCACCCCACTTCTGGGGTGGTCTTGCTAAGTAAGCTCTTCCTATGTGGCTTAGGTTTTCCCTGGGCCATAGAATATACAGGATTCCAGTTTGGAGTAAGGGGTGGGTGGGAAATCCCATTACTTGGCCTGTGGCCTAAGCAGGGTTCTAAAACCCCTTTAATCCATCCATGTGGAACAGCTTTTCCTTTGTTGAATGGCAGTTGCTAGCATTATCGCTGTTGCATTGCAGAGGCTAAAAATACCCCTTGTTCAGCATTCTCTACCAGGTGCCTGGCATTCTTTTGTGTTTTAATTGCTTTGAAGGGGGATGTTCGCCAACATCCCTCCCTTTGCCCATCAGCCTCACATCTGCCCCATTGTTGTTTCGACAAAACCTCGGGGAGTGCACAATTTCCCCCCCCCCCCCAAAAAAAGCAAAAAGCCTCTTTAAAAGCAAAGAATTGACCGATTTCGAATTGCTTCTCTCTTCCAATCTGGAAGCTTTAGCTCTTTTTCCTGGCCTCTCCTTTGAAACGTTTGTGTAAACCCTTGTGGCAACCAAGGCTTTCCTAACCTACCCGTGTGCCAGGGCTCCAATTCCCATTAGCCACTGGGGAGGGTGAGAATCGGGAAGTCCAGCCTGTTTAGTGGGTTTGGGGGGGGGGTTTCCAGGGAGTTGACCAAAATAATAAGCCTTTGAATCCAGCTTCCCTCTCCAGCCTGGACGTTTCCGTCGGTCTCTCTGACCTTATCAGCAGAAGGCAGTTGCGTCGTTGGGCGGGGCCCGGTTTGTGTCCTGCGCAACAGAAAATGTGTGGAATGTGATGATGGCCCCTTTGCAAGTGTGTGTGTGTGTGTGTGTGAGTCGGAGAGCAAAGTCTGTTCTTCCCTTATCAACGCCCCAGAGAAGTGTGAAGAGAAAAAAAAACCGGTCTCCATTTTGGGGTGTGGGGTAGTAGAGGACAAAAGATATGAATGCTTCCCAAGCCCCCGATAAATGGCTCGCTCCAGCGTCGGAGGCCCAGGCTGGCCAGCTTCGGGAGGGGTCATGCAGGCTGCATCGCTCTGCAGCACTGCCACTGCTGCGGTGGACAGGCTGCGCGTGTGATTCTCCAGCTTTGGCCAGACAAGAGCCCGGCTGATGTCAGCGAGTTGTGCGTGGAGGGTTTTTTTCTTCCTTCCTTCCTTCCAAAACTGTGTGTGTTTTGTTCCTGTGGAAAA